CGTTATCGTTCGATTGTTCGTCATTTTTATAGACTGGTCGCGTCAATCTTTCCCAACGACACATATTGAAGCTTGCACGAAATTTATATCCCAGCCTCGTGTACGCCTCTTCAATATTTTCGTCGTGTTCGAAACAAACAACGCCACGCATTGCGTCGTACAACGTGCGTACGTGACAAGTTCTTTTAATAGAATCTCATATATATAGATACATGTATATATGTATATTTTGGTTGAATAATTCCCTCGGGCAATATTCACCGCGAACTCGTTTCACCGTGGAAAAAATTAACGAAGACAAACGTGATGTAACAACGATGATCTCAACGGGCCAATGTAACGAGCCGATATTAAATTTCCCCTCGAGCAAATTTTTTCGAGAGAAGGGCAGAACGTAGATTGAATCCTGGTTCGAGAGATTTTTCAGCAACCTCCGTGCCGATGCCGAGTTGAAGCCCAGACGTGTCGTTTGACGAATCGTTTGACAAATTGTTCTGATGGATCGTAGGATTGCGACCATCCTTCATCGGAATTGTCCGTTGCTCTGGAACTGCAGCAGCTTCCTTGACCCATTGTTAATTCCTCGGTGATTCCAGGATTTCTTCTCCAGGATTGATTGTTCGACTGTTTTCATTGATTCGAGCGGAGAGCAATCACAGGGATTCTTGATCCATTGAATCGGATGTAGTGATAAAAATTCCTGCGAATTTACTAAAAAAGCTGTCGGAGTTAGAAATTTACGAAGTATATTTATCCTTAACTCCTGCGTTCCTTCAGACTTGCATTCTTCCAACGTTAAGGAATCTCTCGAGTTTGAACAAAATTGAAGGGGAGGGGAGGATATCTTCGGAAAGTATGCGTAATTTCACAGTTTTATATTGTAAAACATAAGGCGGTGTTAACATTCCATTATTGAAATATCCGATTTCTGTTGGATCGTCGCTCGAAACGAAACACGTTCAACGAAAACTCGTCAACACAAATTCCACGTGTTCTTTCGCAGCCGGCACGTAGCACAACGATCGCAAAAATACTCACCATCGCGAGGAATTCCAGTTTTCTCTCTCTCCACCGTGAGTAATCGTGTCACGCTGCATATTCACGCGAGATTACATATGCATCCTTCGACCACCGTATGCATATCCGGCGCATGCATAGCAAACGTGTGTACCAACATCCTGTTTACCCGCCGTATCTCTCCAAGTTATATATCCCGAGAGAATATGCTCGATTATGTCTACATCAACGGGATCTTCCTAAACTTCTCGTTCCCTCGGCTCGTCGTGCTTCTTTCTCGCCCCCTCCTGCCTCTTTTCGTTTTTTTTCCCCGTTCCTCTTGCTTTCGGGGCTGGCCTTGTCTGGAGGGTAGTAGTTTCGCGGCGTTTCCGGGGGAATTATTCCGACCACGTTCGAGCTGAAGCTTCTCTTATCGAATTTGCCAACCGCGTCGCACCGTGCCAGCCAGCTTGTATTTTCCGGATTTTTTCGTGAGACCTCAAGCGCATGTCGGTGGGGGGAGGGGGGGGGGGATTTTCTCTCATTCGCTGCACCGCTTGCGCGATATTTTTTCTCTTCTTCTTTTTTCTCTCTCTCTCTCTCTCTTTTTATACTAATGAATTTTGAAGAAAATTGAAATTTTACTACTCGGTTCAGAGAGAGAAGTTTTCTTGAATCTTCAAATCTCTGTCTCTCGTCTATTACGTACATTTTAAGGGTAGTTTTAGTATAGTGTCTTTACTTTGAATTTGGTGTTTGTAACTGGGAGATATTCGTTTCTATAATGACGCTAATAATATAATATTATTATATAATAAATATTTTATTATTATATTATATTACAAATTTAAATTATTATTATATAATAAATATTTTTACGTTAATATGAACGTAATAATGGAAATGAAATAAGTGTTTAGATATTAATAAAAATGAAAATTTCAGCTAAGTATCACAGACATTTCGTATGTGTATTTTGATGTATTTCTTATTAGTAGTTTGATATTCAACCATCATACAGTGGAAAAATAATTTTTCTTTCACAAATGTTGGACAATAAATTTCATGTGTTTATACATGTATCGTGGTTCGTGCGGATGTTCAAACACCTATCACAGAAGAAGACTTTTATAGTATGTTAAAACAGTTTGAAATTTTATTAACAATATAATGTCACGAAATATTTACTTCAAACATATATTCAGTAGAAAATTACTGAGCACGTAGTATCAATAATAAAATTTAAATACGAATCACGCTGAAAACTGAGATTTGTTAATAAACTGACTAATTGTTTGAGATTTCTACTAAATATTTACTTGTACTAAATATCTTATAATTATAATTCCTCGATCAATATTGAATGAAAATCAAAATGTTTTATGTAACATTATTATTAAAAAATTCCTACACGTGTCTGAATACTTTCATGAGCAATTTCGGAATTGCTATAATATTTAATGAGTAAAAGAAGTTATTCTTCAATTGTATTCCCAGGAAACAAGATCATCGTAAATATTCTCAGTTTATAGTGAGATTTTTCTATTTACAAATATTTAAGATTGACGGGACCAGAGATTAGTTTTCACAGCGTTTGTTAGCAGAATTTCTTATCGGTGGGTGTGTAAGGAAACGTGCATAATAACGAAAGAGGTGTTTGTTTTATTATCGCTCTCGCGAATTGCATTAACGATAATGCACTCCTGCTATGAGCCAGCTGCGCGATTGCAATATTAAATCTTCTCTACTTCTCCGGCGAGCTTCCATGTAAATTTCAAGCGAAATAGAAGGAAAATTTCTCAGTTCCAGTTTCATTAGACAGTGCAGAATGAATTGAATGTAAATTTAGAAATTTCTCTGCGTTAGATTTAGATTCTCACGTGTTCAGAAAAAGCTTTAAATTTCGCGAAATTTCACAGAATAGATGAAGACAGTACGAAATGATATGTAAAGATTTTACTTTCCTCAATTATATTCTTCGTAATTTTACAAATTTTCATAAAGATCAGCAGTTTTCTGTATTTTTTAACAAATCATGTGAAAACTTTTTGCACAAAAATAAAAATGGAACGGTCCGAAAGATCACAGAACTGTGCAAGTGATTCTCGGTTAATCTTCAGTAGTATAGGTCGATATTTTCTCATTAGAATAAAACATTTTTTCGCTCATACTGCAATTGGCCTATGGATGTTTATGCATAAAATCGGCACAAAAATACACGCACGACGACGAATTATAAAACGTGGCATTTTCAGTAATATTTAGTTATCACCTTCGAAAATACGTTTTAATTCTGATCTCGAAAATGTGGATCTTCCTTAAAAAAAAAATCAGACAGTCTTCTACTATAAATCGTTACAAATCCCTGAGCGATGAGTGTCACGAATCAACGAAACAAAGAGAGAAAGAACAGAAGCGAAAAGAAAGCGTTTGTAACAAAGCGAAGAGAACACAACGATGCGTAAGCGTAAACGGGAGAATCGCGGAGATGATCGCGAGATTTCACGAACGACTATGGAGGATTCTCGGCGAATCTTCAAGTGGAGTGGGTCGCAAAGAGGGCAGACATCCCTTTGATGCACTTTCGCTGTAAGAGAAAAGACTCTGGCCTAGGACGCGGCTGCACGATGCACGAAGCACGACCGTGCAGAAACGACAAACCGTAAAAAGGGCGCTCGTGTATTCCCGGAAATTTTTCGCCTGCAGGCATTACATTATTCGACGACATTGATATTATCATTGTCGAATTAACGTTGGGTAATTTATTCACGTGTAAGTGGACTTCGAACCGATTCTCTGGATTGAGACAGATTCGATATGACGGAACGATTCAACGATTCGAATAATAGTCAGAATAATATTCTAAAGATTCTAAAGATTCGACTGTTAAACGATCGTTTATGATGCTTCGGCAGTGAGTTTGCTGAATTGCACACTCGTTGGAAACTAAATATTATAATATGAAAATGAGGAAGTCTTATTTTTTGGAATTTCTTTCCATGCATGGTCCAAGATCCATGTAATTGTTGTGAGTCTAGACTTGGGACTGTTTGTTTCAGCCACGCTGTTTGTTCAATCTTAAGACGTAAAATATAAGAGTATGGTGCGTGAGTATGCAAAGATGGTTTGAGAATAAGATTTCGGGTAGAGAGTAGCGAGTTGTGATAGGTGAGAGCTCAATATCTTTTTGTCATCTCCGTATTCGGACTTTTTCAATTTTTTCTAAAGTTAATTAATTCCCAAATTAACAAACCACGTTATATTTATTTTAAACCACGTGGGTTAATATCGTGTGTTTTTACTTACAATAAAATTAGCTATAAAGATCCTCGGACCATGTCTCGCGTCTGTCCCACGTTTCGAATGCAGATTTTCGTGCTAATTGAGCAATTTTATAGAAGATCTGCTACTTTTCCAAAATTTCATTCGAACGTTTCTCTCTCTCTTTTGTTTTCATGTCGAAATATGTGGGTGCTCTTTGTGCGCGACGAATGAAACGTAATATCGAACGAAATGTGAATTGGATTCTTTATATTCATAGAGAACGCGCAAGGATGGTGATACGTTTATAACAATGCGGAGAATCGGTTAATAGAGAATTGAACGTGTTGATTGATCGGTGAAATCTCTTTTTAGAGATTGACACTAAAATTCGATCAGTTTTGTCATTCTGCAGGAATATTGGATTGCAAACCGGTCTGTATGTATTTGTGAAATATTAAATAAAATAATAAAAACTGTATTCAATATTAGGAACAACAGAGTAATGGAATAAAATAAACTCTCCGTTGTTTCGTTTTTTTGTTTTTTTTTTTTTTTTGGTTCGTAAATAACTAATGAATTATTATCGTGTGCCAATTAAAATAAAAATGGAAGAGGTGTCCGGTAGTTATTAAAAAATAATACAACCTCTATACAATGTATTAATAAATACATGCGATAAGCACATACTGTTTATATTTATAAATACATATAGCATTATAAAAAATAACATAATACACACATTGCAATAACTCTTCATAAACCATACTCTGTAATTTTTAAAACCTAGCGCAATCAGTTTCAATAATTGAATCTTTATTTTCAATTTAATTCAATCGTATATCCTCCCCTTCCTCTCACAATAAAACTTGCGTAATTAAAAAATTCGGTTCATTAAAGATTCCAACAAACGGCATAAAATTTCTTTCCGTCTTCCTTCCTCCTCCAGTTTCGTCCTTTCTGGTGTCGTTATTCCGCTCGGATCTACGCGGTTTCACGTCTAATTACGAGAAAGTTTCACATCCACGTCACGCGAACACGCAATATTCGCTCTAAGATACTCGCAGTTATTTCTCTCTTTTTTCTCTCTCTCTTTCTCAGCGATGATTAATGCGAAAGAATATTAAACGTAATGACGTAACGACGTTGCACGCAGAAATTATTCATTAAGATCAAAGGAGAGAGATCGAGCCCGATTAGAAACGTCCTGAAAGAATCGGATGTTAAATCATCTCGACAAGTTGAATGGTTCGTCTGATAAAAAGAAGCATATTTATTCCCTCTCTTTTCCTTTTTTTTTTTTTTTTCTAACGTTGCTACATCATCAACTCGATTTGCCGCTTATCGGCGCTGTTACGCTACCGTTACGTGTGACGTCTCGAGCGTAATCTTAATGAAAGTCAGTTTATCGTACGTCATGAACAAGGTTTTCAACTTTGCAATTTGATTGTAACGGAGATTAAGAAATTGAGGTAGGATGGTATGCAAATTATTAAAGTTCACGTTGAAGGACGCTTGCACCAAGGGATTTGTGCATTTATGGAAAGTTTGCAGTGACGATAGATATTGTTCAGATTGTAGTACTAATAATCACAAATAATTCGAAGAATTATTTCCTTGATAGCAATGGCTATTACATTATTTATTGTTATTTAGAAATCTCTGTTCAAATACGATGGCACAGCAAATTGTATTATCTACGAATAATTCGAGGAACTTGGTCGTATTTATATTAAACAACGCACACGGAAATACATATTTAGACTCTCTACTGTTAACAAAAATTCTTTAACTATGTTATCTATGTCTGCAAAATTTAACTGTGTTATCGATGTCTGCAAATAATTCATAGAATCTGAACGCGACTTCAATAAAGAAACATCTTACGTGTTCCATTATTTAACAGTTACCTGCAAATAATTTATAAAATTTGAACACGATTTTGATGAAGAAACATCTTACATGATCCACTTACCAATATTTGCAATTTGGACACGATTCTCGACAAATAAACATTTAACAGTGTTACCAATATCTGCAATTTGGACACGATTTTGTCGAAGAAAGATCTTAAGTGATTCACTGTTTAACAATGTTACCAATATTTGCAATTTGGATACGATTTTGACGAAGAAAGATCTTAAGTGATTCACTGTTTAACAATGTTACCAATATTTGCAATTTGGACACGATTCTCGACGAAGAAACATTAAGTGTGATCCACTGTTTAACAGTGTTACCAATATCTGCAATTTGGACACGATTCTTGACGAAGAAACATTAAGTGTGATTCACTGTTTAACAGTGTTACCAATATTTGCGATTTGGACACGATTCTCGACGAAGAAACATTAAGTGTGATCCACTGTTTAATAATGTTACCAATATCTGCAATTTGGACACGATCCCGATAAAGAAACATCTTACATGACTCACTGTTCAACAAAATACGCACCGACGAATTTTCAATAAACTCGTGGAATCTGGAAGAACGCCTCTTCAGTCGCGTGATGCCGCTATCTGTTATCTTCCATCGTCGTTATTTTCACCCGGGTAAGGAACTTTCCTCTCGCATAAAACACCCGCGTCTATCGCGGGGGCCACTTGCTCGTTGATGGCTAACTCGCAGATCGCGTGCCACGCGAATGCAAATCGTTGCGTTATCGTTCGGTACTTGCGGCACGCGCTAACAAGCCGCCGGCCTGATAGGACGACCGTTTGATAACGCGTTTGTATCGACTAATTGAACGATAACAGAGAGAGAGAGGGGCGAGCGTATTACAACATTTTAGCGACGTGCTTCGGACCCCTAATCGCCGGCTTTGTGAGATGCAACCGGCAATTTCCCGACGCCGGGAATCGCGGCATCGAGTTGAATGTTACAATCAAGGCGAGATCGCGAGAGATCGCGGGCATGTCTTCCGCTTGTCTCTCTCTCTCTCTCTCTCTCTTTCTCCGGGCGAACTATCACTAGGACAGATAAGAGAGAATTGTACGTTGAGAAGTGAACATTTCATAACGATTGCTCGAAGATTGGACTTTGAATTTCGGAGGAAAGGAAAGACGAATTGATTAAACTCTGGGTTATTGCGACTAATTTTTAGTAATCTTTACTAATTTCAAGTTGGTTGATTAAATATTGTTACAATATGGCGTGCATTAGGTAATAACATTGTGTATTATTGTCTACGAAGTGATGTGACCTAATGCACCAATTGGGAAAGTTATACTAAATTATAATTGGACTGCCGGTTTTTGTACATTTGTGGAAACTTCGAAAATGTAGAAAATTACATCAAATGCATATAATACGAAAAAAATGTACAAATATCCATGATATATTTCTTATTAAAACATCCAACGTATAAAATAGTTCTATGCTTGGTAGGTTTGTAATATTATGTTCGTAAAAAATACGAATTTGCATAAATATGTATCTGCAGTCTAATTATAATGCAGCAATAAATGAGATACTCACGAACATTTTTGCTAAAAATGAAATTCAATTGAGTTGTACTTGCGTATACTATAGCCTCTCAAGAAAACTGATCAACTTCGTTTTTTATTAATTTCTTAACTTCGTTCATACATAGATACCCAGAACTGATACTCACAATCAGTTCTCGAGAAACGAGTAACACACATCTCGCAAGTTCGTTTATATAAAAATATGCGATACATATATAAATATGTAAAATATTTTAAAATAAATTTAAAAAATATATCGTAATATCTTGAGATAAATTTTGAAAACGATAACGATTGTATGATTATAATATTGTGATATATATTTTTTTTGTGTGTGTTTCTCAACTCGTTCGATCGTTTAATAAGGCATTTATCAAATATCGCAGCAAACACATGCCATCGCAATGAAACACACGAACCCCTAAAACACGTAGCTCACGTGACAGATAATTAAAGCAATATTTCAAAAGACACGAGGCTTTACGTGTTCGGCGTGTCAACGTAACCTATTCTTACCAATTAGACAGACAGAGCTGACAGACAAACTAAGACTATAACTCTCGAATTTTCTTTTTTGTTTTTTTCTTTTTTTTTTTTTGTTCGATCCGTAAAATCGTCGGAACGACTACGAACGACACCGGCGCCGGTGACACGGAACGATATTAAATTTACAGAATGTTCGACGTCGTCGTTATAACAGGCCAGATTTACGTCGCTGCGCCGCGCCACATTTACGTCGAAATAAAATGTCGCCCGGAAAACGTAACTCGTTCGACGCGACACCGTAACGTACAAGCGTTTTTTCTTCTTTCCTTTCCGATCTTTTATTTCCATTTTTTATTTACTCTTTCGCTTTCCCTTCCTTCTGTATCATTCTCTCTGTATTTCGTTCTTTCCTTTTTTCCAGATCGCGTCAACTCCAATGTTGGCATTAATGTGCCTGTTGCCGAAATTGTATGATCTCTGATATCAAAATATATCGTGCAAGAGAATTTATAAAAATATAAAGAAGAAGTTTACTATTCTTTTTACAAAGTTAAATTATCGAAGTTGACGTAAATTATCAATATCTTGTTATTGAAATCAATTCGTTATTGTCAAGTTCAACTACCGATTGTCAAATCCATGAATGCGATTTTTACAGTATTTTTACAATCTTGAAGATTGTCAATTCTATAAATGCAACATGATTTTACAATATTTCTATAATCTTGGAGAGATACCTTGATAAAAATTGATATTTATTTCGGACAAAGACATGATTGTACAGATCTACATTTATTTTAACTTACCGTTGTTCAAACTGTATTATACTGAATATGTAGAGATAGTACTAATATGTAGAGATAGTAATATTACACTTTGCAATGAAAAATCTTTACAGATTCTTTTCTATAGGTAATTTATTTTAGAGCACGTACAATTACTCGACTTGATATTTATCTTGTAGATAATATTTCGTTCATTAGCACAATTTCTTTTTCAAAAATTAACCAAGAATTTTAATTTATTATTTGTTACGAGAAGGATTATGTATTTAGAGCGGTATAGTTACGTTCAGAGCAATATAAGAATGGCTAATTCTTCGTTTCTCTAGATTCTTCACTGTGAAACTTTTAATAGTCAGCCGGCGGAACGGCAATTCATCTCGATGGAGAAAATACGCGACACGATCGCGATAACTAATTACGAGTTATTAGCCGCCGAGTAATATCGTTAGCGGGATCATGAGCGCAGAGAAAAGTTCTCGGAGTTATTGTTCGTGGAATATAATTGACACAGAAACTGCATTACCTTCGCGATATTTAATTCCTTGCCGCGTATATTGTATTCCGTTATACTTCGATACGAAAATGATTCACTGATGTCTTTCGATTTTTTTTCGTGTTTATTTGTTTCGCAGAGAGATAGAAACAGTTTTTTGTTTTTTTTTTTTTGGAATGTTTGTACTTTGTAATTTTTTTACTCAAATTGAAAAAACACGAGGATTTTTTTGGCTTCAAAATGCTAGCGAGAATTTCAGTTCGTTTAATTTTATAATTTTTGAAATTTCTTTATCACTCAACTCATGTCACATAAGAACAAGCTAGCGGTTTAAGTAATAATTAATTTAAACACTGTAACTAACATATTCGTGAATATGATTTAGGTTCCACTTAATTTAATAACCACAAAGACTAACTTCGTTGATTAATCGGCTTCCAAAAATCAGTTTAATTATAACACGTAATATTCTATTACGCATACTTGTTGCTATTATAAAGGATTATTACAAAATTATTACTAATTTATTCGTAATATTGTAAATTAAGATACATCTAACCAAAAATAAGAAAGTGTCTAAATATTTTTGTATTTATTTCAAAATAACATTCGTCTTCACCAACGCAAAATTAATATCAGTGTGCTATTGAATTCATCATAGACCGAATGTCATCATGATTTGTAAACGATTAATTCATTTCGTGTATGTGAATATTTCTTATTCTCGTTACATCGGTCGCTGGTTCTAACGTGGTCTGAAGTCACGCGAAAAATAAGAAACGCGTAGCCAATTTAAGAGATTAACGAAGAAACTAACGATTCAAAACCCAGCCGATCGCCAGGAGCAATTGCAAGTGACTGAACTTCCTCGTTAAACGAATCCAAGACGAGATCAACTATCACCATTTCTCAAATATCAATTTCACTTACTCGTTGAAGAGTGGAAGACCTTCCGCCTTTGGAGACGAAGCATCGTGAAAAACATTTCGCCTCCTCCCCCCTCCCCACCCCCAACTTCGTCGACTGAACTTTACGCACGCCCGTCGGTTTATTTACACCTCGAACGTTTCCATAATTAGTTTTCTTTGCCGCGAATCGCGTATTACCGGTTATGAACTCGCTCGCCTATCCAAACTATCTGCCGCACGTTTTCCTACCCTTTCTCCGCGCGAGGTTAAAGGTTCGTTAATCATCCCGCCGAACTGGATCCGCATGCAAGGAAGGAAGGTGAGTATATCGAAGGAATAATCGATAGTTTCGCCGGTGCAGCCGGGGCGTTCCGTGACGATCCTTCAAAAGTTTCGTGCACGAAATTGAGAAATTAACCCGACAGGATCGTCGGTACGTAAGGGCGGTTTATAAACGCGCAGTGAGAGGGGGGGGAGGGGCGATGGGGGTTGGATGGTTCCGGCGTAGGAGCCACGATAGCTCCGGATACGAAGCTCGGTAATTTATTTCGCATCGCGCGGCGCATCTGAATCGCAAATTGTCCGGGATTACCTGCAATTCCCTAATTCGACTGCGTAAAAAAAAATCGGGATACTTCGGTATGTAGGCACATAATTGAAAATCGAAGAGTAGCTAACTGTGTATTCTCTAGGGATTTTTTTTTTTTTACTTTATCGTCAGATTTTTTGAAAATTTTTGTCACGCTGATTTAAATTGAAATTTAGTCTTTTACCATTAAATTTTATTATTGAATTTATATCGAATGAGAGTTAAGAATTAATATTAGGAATTTAGTGTTGAACTTGTTTAATTAAAAATTAATTCCAGTAGATGAAGAATAGATTTGTATAAAGTGTACATTGTAGAAAAGTATAAAATCAAGTAGCGATAAATTTAACTCTTTGAGTGCTCATTAAAAGTCTTTAGTATCATAATATCATGACATCAGATAAGAAGCATTATAGAGAATACATTCAGAATTCATTCATCTTTAAACATGTTGCTGTTTAAATATTTTACTCTCTTTGAATCTCTAATAAATAAATCAATTATTTTAAACACCTCAAATTACTGTCAAATTATGGACATTAGAAGAATTAAGTAATAATCACTAAGTTAATCAATATGTAATAAGTAATAGCTCTGTTTCGATTAAGTAAGATAATTAATTTATACGAAATAAAATGAATATAATTTTCAATAAATTTTTCCATTTCTTAAACAGTAAGACGTTTTAATGTTTTAACGTGACATTTATTGCATTAAATTCTTTACTATTTATTCCGTAATCTCAGATCGAGTATAAAATAAATTTTATTAATTCATTATATCGTTAATTTCCAAAGTGAGAATTACTCACAGTTATGCCTATAATTGTAAAATATACTATGTTTATTTATATACTATGTATAAATTATGTCTATAATTGTATATTGTAATATATGTTAATATAATTATATCTAATGACGGTAAA